ATCTTTTCCAGCATTAGGCTCTTCTCCAGTGAGTCTTTCCTTCTCATTAGGTGGCCAAAGTACTTGAGTTTCAACTTCAGGATCTGGCTATATGGACACCTCAAATTTTCCAAGTGGAGTTGCTGGTTAGCAAAAAATGAATTCATTTCATTTCATGCTCTTCAGAGAAGAACAACTAATATGTTAAAGGTCTGGAGACTAAAACATAAGAAGAACGCTATAGGTACTGGATATGGCTAGTCTAGAGAAAAGAAGGATTAGGGGAGACATAATAGCAGCATTCTAGTATCTGAGTTTTTTAAGAAGAGACTGGACAGCCACTTGTTTCAAATGGTATAGGGCAGGGATAGGCAACCTTGGCTCTTTTATGACTCTTGAACTTCAACTCCCAGAATTCCTGAGCCAGCCATGCTGAGGGGAAAGGGAGAGGTTTCCAAGCTGAGCTATGCTGGCTCAGGAATTCTGGGAATTGAAGTCCACGAGTCATAAAAGAGCCAAGGTTGTCTACCTCTGGTATAGGATCTTCTATTTGAGCAGGGGGTTGACTAGAAGACCTCCAAGGTTCTTTCCAGCTCTATTCTGATTGATTGAAATGAAATAAAGTAGGAACAAGGAAACCACTCAGTTCTGCCTTCTGCACTCAACTTTTTATAATTTCAAATTCTTCCCACAGCATTTATCCACATTTTGATGCAGATGGAACTCTGTCTATGGAGATACTCAGTTATCCAGCTCATGATTATCCCAAAGGTGCTTTTTTCAACAGGCAACTGGACTTTCCTTCAATTTTGAACTGAAGAAGCTTCTTGCATGAGAAGCAAAACATCTTCAAGGAAAAACAAAGGAAGTCCAGTTGCCTCTTGAGGAAAAAAAAAACAACACCTATGGAACTCTACTGTTTTCAGAATCCCATTTTACCTAGAGTTTTAAGATACTGTAATCTGGCTGGTCAAATCACTTTGCTGCAGTGTTAATCCTCCAGCGTTTTGCCTGTTGATGTGCTGTATTTGCATCCCAATCGCCCTTTTTAAAAAAAACAAAATGTGTTGTAAGTCATACTAAGCACTATGGCTGGAGACAGAATATCCCTTGGGATGTCAGCTAAAAGCATTTCAAATGGCAAGACTCATCAATATTTCTTGAGACTTCAGGGAATATTGCCACCAAGAATATACACATCCCAGGACCGGCATAAATCATCTTCATTTCATATGATATGCTTGTAGCAATATGCCAGATAAGCCTAGATCTTCATAGCTTCCTAGTCTAAAAGTAGCCTAAAACAACCATTCTCTGCTACTTCTGAGTGCAAGAAATCCCAATACATTTTGTAAAGGTAGTCCTCAGTTCACAACCACAATTGAGCCCAAAATTTGTGTTGCTAAGTGAGACAGTTGTTAAGTGAGTGTTGCCCCGTTTTACGACCTTTCCTGCCACACTTCTTAATTCCTGCAGTTGCAAAATTTGTAACACGGTTGTGAAGTGAATCTGCCTTCCCCCATTGAGTGTGCTTGTCAGAAGGTCACAAAAGAGGATCTCGTGACCCAGGGACACTGCAACCGTCATAAATAAATACTAAATAGTTGCCAAGCATCTGAATTTTGATCACATGACCGTGGGGATGCCACAAAAGTCGTAAGTGTGAAAAATCCTCCTAAGTCACTTTCTGAGTGCCGTTGTAACTTTTGAGCGATCATTAGAGAAATGGCTGTAAGTTGAGGACTACCTGTAATATGGAAGCAGTTAAAATGAGAGAACTGGTATAGCTATTTCGAGTTCCGTTAACTCTCTTCAGCCAGACTTACTCTTCTGAGATTCGAACCTGGGCTTATCTGCATGTTAGGCAGTTGTTATAACCTCTAAGCCACAGGCTCTCTCCCACTCTGTTAGCTATCAGGAGAGAGACAGGGGGAGGAGATTTTTACCTTGAATGTACACCCTGTCAGCCCAAATATGGGAGAAAGAAATCTTCTTTCTTTTTCTTTTTCTTTTGCCTGTATCAGCTCAATCTAGAGCCATCCACAACCAGCAGTCGCCAACTGCGACATCATTTTACATTTTTAGGTTGCTAACAAAGAATAAAGAGAGAACTGGTATAGCTATATATGTTTTCTGAGGTTTTCGCGGGTGTTTGTATGTAGGTCTTTGGTTATTCGGGTTTTCTCCCACGTAAAATTGGAAGTGTCTTGGCGACATTTCGATGAAGTCTCATTCGTCATCTTCAGGCTGGTGCTTTCGGCTTCGTGCTTCTAGGAGCAATGTGTGATTGTAGCTGTTTCCTCCTTTTAACTGCCAGTGAGACTTTGTCGAAACGTCGCCAAGACACTTCCAATTTTACGTGGGAGAAAACCCGAATAACCAAAGACCTACATATATATATACACACACACACACACACACACACACACACACACACATATATATATACATATATACATACATACATACATACATACATACATATATATATATATGTATCCAAGCCCTATTCCAGTGGTGGCGAACCTATGGCACGCGTGCCAGAGGCAGCATTCAGAGCCCTCTCTGTGGGCACGTGCCATGCCCCGGAGATGGCAAGGGACTTGCCCCCGCCACCCTGGCCCCGCCCACCCAGTCTGCCATGACCACTGCGGCCACGCCCACCCGGCACCTGGTGATAAATAAGTGGGGTTTGGGTTGCAGTTTGGGCACTGGGTCTTTAAAAGGTTCGCCATCACTGCCCTATTCAGTGCAGGGATTCAAACAAAAGCCAGTAGACAGACAGCTTCAGTCTCTGCTTAGCATAGCATATCAAGTAAAGGATAAAGCTGTTTAGTTGGTTCTACTGCTGGATTATTCCTACCACTAGGATCTGTTTTCTAACAATCAGGTAGAAACTGCTTTCCTGTAATTGAAACTGGTGTTTTGCACTTAGGAATAAGAGAAAACAACTCTTCCATTTGGCATCTTTTCAGGTACTTGAAAAATGCTTTCATCTTCTCCCTCAGTCTCCCGCAAGGCTAAACCTATTCAGCTCTTTCAACTTCTCTTCGCAGAAATAACAGAATAACAGAGTTGGAAGGGACCTTGGAGGTCTTCTAGCCCAACCCCCTGCTCAAGCAGGAAAACCTATACCAGTGATGGCGAACCTTTTAGGGACCGAGTGCCCAAACTGCAGCCCAAAACCCACTTATGTATCGTCAGGTGCCGGGTGGGCGTGGCCCATTGGGTAGGTGTGGCCCATTGGGTAGGTGTGGCCCATTGGGTGGGCGTGGCTGCCGTGGCAACAGCAGACTGGGTGGGACTAAAAAGTTCAATCAATCAATCCCAACTTTGCGAGATCTTTTTTTTCCCCGTGAGAAGTTGAAATTGATTGAACCTTTTTTTTTTTTTGCATACAGTGGTGGAGGCCCAAAGGGAAAAGGTTTTATAAAGCCCAGCTGAAGGCCTAGGACTGGGGCAACGGTGCGCATGCCCACAGAGAGGGCTCCACGTGCCACCTGTGGCATACGTGCCATAGGTTCGTTACCACGGTCCTATACCATTCCAGACAAATCGTTGTCCAATCTCTCCTTAAGAACCTCCAGTTGGCGTACCCACAACTTCTGAAGGCAAGTTGTTCCACTGATTAATTGTTCTCACTGTCAGGAACTTTCTCCTTAGTTTTAGGTTGCTTCTTTGCTTGATGAGTTTCCATCCGTTGCTGCTTGTCCTGCCTTCTGGCGCTTTGGAAAATAGCTTGACTCCCTTTTCTTTGTGGCAGCTTCTGAGATACTGGAACATGGCTATCATGTCACCCCTTGTCCTTCTCTTCATTAGACTACACCTACCCAATTCCAGGAACCAGGATCAGTTTTTAGTTCTCTAATCATCACTATTGTCCTTCTCTGAAACAGTTCCAATTTCTCTGAATCTTTTTAAGGCATGACAAAATTACAACAAAGGTTATCTATCTATCTATCTATCTATCTATCTATCTATCTATCTATCTATCTATCTATCTATCTATCTATCTACCTACCTACCTACCTACCTACCTATCGATATCTACCTACCTATCTACCTAATCTAGTAACAGTCAATGTGTATTTTCTATTTTTTTGAAAAGAAAACATGAGATCAGGATTTTATGGAACAAATTGGAATGCTACTTGAATGCAGGTCAGTTCCTTTACTGACCTTTTGAAGTTACAATGGCACTGACAAAAAATGGGGTATGATCAAATTTTCATAGTTACAATGTTGCATCTTCCCCATGGTCACGTGACCAACATTCAAGTCGCTTGACAAATGACTCATATTTATGATAGTTGCAGTGTCCCTGGGGTCATGTGATCACCTTTTGCGAACTTCTGACCAGCAAAAATCAATAGAGAAGCTGGAGTCACTTAACAACCTTGTGGCTAACTTGACAACTCCTGTGATTCACTTAACAAGTGTGGCTAGAAAGGGTATAAAATGGGGCAAAACTCACTTAACTCACGTATCTCAGCTGAGAGAGAGAGAGAGAGAGAGAGAGAGAGAGAGAGAGAGAGAGAGAGAGAGAGAGAGAGAGAGAATAGAATTCTTTATAGGCCAGGTGTGATGGGACACACAAGGAATTCATCTCCGGTGCAGAAGCTCTTAGTGTACATACAAGCAACAAATGATAAATCATGATCATAATCATAAAACACAATCATCATAAATCATAAGCTAGAACACTCAGTGACAGCCTAAATACTAAATACTACTAAATACTAAATATGTACTAAATAAAAGCAATCAACATAAATCATAATAGGATACTGAATAAGTACAATCAACATAAATCATAAGATACGAACAACGTTATAGTAATAAGATGCTAAAGAAATAGGTAAATAGGTGATAGGAAAGATGAGAAGGATAATAGTAAATATGTATCTATATATCTATCAGATAGATGATATATAGATATAGATGTCGATATATTGATAGTATAGGTATACCAGTATATCTATAATTCCTCTCCCTCCTCTCTACCTTCTGCCTATACATACTTGCCATGAGGAGAAGGAGGTGGCTGGGCTCAATAGGTTTGGCTGACTGGGATGTCTGCCTCCCATGTATTCATCTGTACAGATGTCACAACCTTCAGCATCTCTCCAATCCCAGTAGGGTATGGTGAAATCTTCATTCCCAATAAGCTTCTGGATCTCACGTTCCCACAGGAGCAAAAACACCCGATGCCAAGGAAGGAAGCCTGGACCTTTGTGTGCAAAATCTATATCCCTCCAGACGTTGGTGCCTCCAAGGAGCGTGTCTCGAGATGCGTAATAATGCATCCAGACAAAAAGGTCATAGACACTGATGTCTTGGAACATCGGAGTGCTACCGTTGTTCATCTGGGCATACGTTCCAGTGGCAATGACAAAATCCCGGCTGGTGGTATATTTGGCCAAATTGAGACAGGCAAGGAACTGGTCGTTTTCTCTGGCGCTCAGCTTGAAGATGTCTTTCCTGACGCGCAGCTTTCTTTCCATGCAGTTGGGTCCTCCAAAGTTGAATTTGCAATCCCCGCAGTTGTATCCCATAAAGTTGCCCGAGCACCTACAAGTCTTATTGTAAAACACAGTTGGCCAGTCCTCTCGGTCATCTACTCCGGAGAAAGGGAACTGAGGGCTGAAAGCAGCAGTTGAAAGAAGAACCGCTCTGCAAGAACCTCTGTTCGAAAGCTCTCCACAAGGAGAACCGTCTCCATGCCACGTTGGACAACATTCCTTCCTCCGCAAGTTGTCTGAGTTAGCACACGCCCGAGGGAACTGGCTGGACCCAAGGGGCAGGATCCCCAAAATTATGCTTATAGAAAAAAGAGACATTGCCTTGCAGACCCCACAAAATCTAGTCTCCTCTCCTAAGTAGTTCAGTTCACTCGCGACAAATGAGATTTTATCCCTCTCACCGGCTCGGAAATCCTTCTTGCATATTTCTTCCTGGTACCTCATTCAACTGCGCTTCCCCCTCCTGATCCACACATGCACACTTCTGTAATCTGATTATCACATGCTCTGGGCTTCATCCAAGAAATATTTACCCACATTCTAGTTATACAGAGACTTTTTTTTTTTTTTTTTGAACTTCATCTTCTGCCTAGCACATGACTTTTGATGTGCTGCATTGTAATGCTTTCTCACACCAAGCTACTTATATTGCTGGGTTCCTAGGGAGATGGATGAGGATGAACGTTTGAGTGGTAGATGGTGGTGGGGATGGGGATGGGGGGAATACTCAACTTTTCAAGTCAAGTTTCTTGAGTAAAAGGTAACAGTAAAGGTTTTCCTGTCAGTCATGTCTGACTCTTAAGTTTTTTGGCTGAGGGAGCCAGCATTGTCTGAAGGCAATTTCCATGGTCATGTAGCCAGTCTGGCTACACGCCAAAAGCACACAGAAAGCTGTAACCTTCCCACCAAAGTGGTACCTATTAATCTAATAGCATTTGCATGCTTTTAAAACTGCTAACTGGGCAGGAGCTAGAGCAAGTAACAGGAGCTTTTGGGTGAAGCTTAAGTCATGAATGCAGGCGGTCAGCTCTCCAGCTGACCAGCTCAGCATCTCTAACCATCACTGAGCCATCGTGCAAAATCTTCAGCAAAATCTCAGAAATCAGAAAGGAAGTTGATCCAAAGTCCTTCAGTTTTCCTTTCAAAGAGACGGTCCTGTTTATGTTTCTAAGCTGAAAGAAATGTGTATAAAATCTTCCTGGACACACACATGCCAATAATTGGGATGAGCAGTAAATGCTGGTTCTCTGCATTTCCATTTGAACTTGATTTTATTTATTTATTACCTGTCCATAGCTTCCCATCTCAATTAATGACAATTCCAAAAGCTCAAAAACAATTGAAACAAGAAAAAGCATTTTAAAATGTCCAAAACAATCATAGCCAGCAGCCGAGAGACTTGGCCAGTTAATAGGAAAACTGAGCAATCAGACACCTACAGCATTTAGCGCCCCAGGCTTTGGAAAACAGCTAGGCTCTTAAAACTTTACAAGAGGCCAACAGGATGGGTCCATTCTGATCTCCAAAGAGAGGATGTTCTACAGAGCAGGGGCCACTGCAGAAAAGGCCCACATTTTAGTCCCTGCCAGCTGACACTCTTTGGCTGATGGGTGTAAGAGAAGGCATGGCAGAACCTGGAGGCGGAGTCAAAAGAGGAATAAACCTAGAGTTGCTATGTAGCCACAAGTCCAATCCCTCTTGAATTGTGGAATGGTATAGGGTTGCCTGGTTGAGCTAGAGTTGGACTAGAACAGTGGTTCTCAACCTTTTTAATGCCACGACCCCAACCGGTCGTAGGTCGAGGACTACCCAACCGGTCGTAAGTTGAGGACTACCCAACTGGTCATAAGTCGAGGACTTTCCCTGCCCGGGAGCGCCACGCATGCGTGGTGCCACCCCCTGCGCCGGCCGAGGCGTAGCTGGCAAGCGGCAGAGACGGAGCAGGCCGACCACCGGCTGGGCCACCAGCTGGCCCAGCCCAAGGGAGGTAAGGCACCCGCCGGGCCCCACGCACGCCAGCAACCCTCCCTGCACCCGCCGGCCTCCCACCTCCCACCCTTGGCCCTCTTTTACTTACATTTTTAGTAGTTGCTCAGCAGGGCAGGATGGAAACTTCCAGACAGCTCGCCTTTGCTGCAGACAACTTGCAGCACCATTTGCAGAATGGGACTTTTGGCGGGCTCAGCAGGCAGAGACAGCCTGGACAATTCCTATTGGCTTTTGAAAGCCAATAGAATTAGACTCTATTCAAGAGAATCTATTCTATTGGCTTTCAAAAGCCAATAGAATAAAAGGGAGTAGCACAGCTAAGGAAAAGGGGGAAAAAATGGCGGACTGCGTTGTTTGGCGACCCCCGTGAAATGGTCGTTCGACCCCAAATGGGGTCGCGACTCACAGGTTGAGAACCGCTGGACTAGAAGAACTCCAAGGTTCCTTCCAACCCTATCATTCTTTGTTTTATCTGTTTTAGGAGTTAGTTTGCATTTAGCTCCATCTGATTTCCAAAGCCAACTCAAAATTCAGGTTTTGATTTATAAAGCTCTTTAGGACTTAGCTTCCAGGGCACCTTAGGATTCATCTGCTCCAAAGTGATATTGCCCGACCCAGTCAGGCTTTCAGGGAGAGGATGATGGGTCTGGGACCCATCTTCTGTGGTGTCCCTGACATTATAGAGTCCCACCGCATCTTTCCTATTAACTTTTGAGAAATCTCTCAAGATCATTTTGTTTGAGCAGCCTTTTGAGAAATCACCTGGGCGGATTTATATTGCGTGTTCACTTTTTTTATCACTTCTAGGCTCTTGGACATGATGTTGTTGCATATCATTAAAAGTTCACTAGTTATCACTTGTTATCTGGAACTGAGGAGAAATGTCCAGATAGCGAAAACAATTAACCAGTGGAACTGCTTGCTTCCAGAAGTTGTGGGTGCTCCATCACTCAGGATGTTTAAGAGGAGACTGGACAACCATTTATTTGAAATGGAATAGGGCAGAGGTCCTCAATCTTTTGGCACCAGGGACCGGTTCCATGGAGAGAGTTTTTTCTGTGGACCGGAGGGTGCGTGGTTTTGTGTGCTGCCTGCATCTCGCAGAGGGGGCTTTGCTTGTTTGTGTGGACCGGTTGGGGTCCATGGCCCGGGGCTTGGGGACCCCTGGTATAGGGTCTCCTGCTTGAGCTGAGAGTTGGACTAGAAGACCTCCAATTTCCCTTCCAACTCTGCTGTTCTGTTCTTTGGGGATTATTTCTGCATATAGTGATGCATCCAAGGATGCTTATCCACCCAGTGGGACAACATAGAAATCAATGCAACATGACATACATAAATACTTACAAATCTCACTTTGCCTGGTTGGAAATCCTGCCCCAATTGACTTCACAAATATAGTTCCAGATTTTAGTTTTCTTGTCATCCCAGCCTCTACCACAATTGTAGGCACCATCCAGCAGTGTGTTACTTGGCAGTAATGTAATTTTAATTCTTACAGGTTTAGTATTAATGAAAAATTAACTGTTCTTGGCCAGAAAAAAAGCTTGTTTTATCCCAACATTGAGAGTTTGAGATGTTCTTCCAGAGGTTGTCGCAGGGGTTTGAGACTCTTCTGGTTTGTGGACATTCAAGCCTTCTTATTTTGATTTTAAAAAAACCCACATATATTCATTCTTTATGATAGGGTTCAGTTTTTAACATGCTAGAGATTTTTTTAGGATTGTGGTTTATCAGAAAACTGCAGGCACATTTGGAGCATGAGGGATCAAGCTCAGCTTCTCCTCCCAGAGGGAATGACTAAGCCAGTGACATTGTGTGTGTGTTGGGGGGGGGGGGGAGAGAGCATCACAACAACACAATGACAGCTCCAACTCTTTTTAATATTTGTTGGGATGCTGTGTGCCTATATGAAAGGCCATTATGGTGGCTCAGCCCTGACAAAAGCGCTGGACTAAACAAACCAGGAAGCCTTTATGTGAGTGCTCTTGAAAACTAACAGCACAGATATGCCTCGGCAACCTCATTTTTCTTCTGTGTCACCATGACATTACTTTAATCTCATCCTGAGCCTTCATTTCACAGATGTAAGATAGTCTTCTTCACCTTTATTCCAAGGGTAACACATTAATACATTCATCTTTTCAACTGTTGATGGATATGTAGATGGCTTCTTGGTTTGTTTTTCTGCACTTAGTTTATATATGTTCTGTCTTCTCAGTGGTCAGAATAAATATTATCCATCTATCATCTATCCTTCCATCCATCCGCAGCTTCCAAGTAAAGGTAATCCTTGACTTACAATAGATGGTTTAATGACCATTCAGAGCTCTAGCAGTCTAAGAACAGGTGTTTTACAGCCTGGGAAGCGCTTCCGGCTGTCAAAAAAAAAATTGTGTTTCCTCTATTTGTGTGGTTACATGTTTGCATTTTAAGCACTTGGCAACCAGCTTGCCTTTATGGCCTGTTGCAACTTCCTGTGGTCATTCTTTTTTTTTTTTTAAAAGACAAAATGAATGAAGAGAAAGGAAGGAAGGAAGGAAGGAAGGAAGGAAGGAAGGAAGGAAGGGAGGGAGGGAGGGAGGGAGGGAGGGAGGGAGGGAGGGAGAGGAAAGGAGTGAAGGAAGGGAGGGAGGGAGGAGAGAAAGGAGGGAGGGAGGAGAGAAAGGAGGGAAGGAAGGGAGGGAGGGAAGGAGGGAGGAGAGAAAGGAGGGAAGGAAGGGAGGGAGGGAGGAGAGAAAGGAGGGAAGGAAGGAAGGAAGGAAGGGAGGGAGAGAGGGAGGGAAGGAGGGAGGAGAGGAAGGAGGGAAGGGAGGGAGGGAGGGAAGAGAGGAAGGAAGAAGGAAGGGAGGGAGGGAGGGAGGGAGGGAGGAAGGAAGGAAGGAAGGAAGGAAGGAAGGAAGGAAGGAAGGACAAATATCAATAAACGGACAAAAAATGTTAGAGGTTGTAGAGTTAGTGCTTAGTATATTATTGATGAAAAAATAACCATTAAAAACAAAATACATTATGACTCTTTGTGACAAAAAAGAATTTTAGGTCACATTCCACCTGGGTTGCAGGCAGTCCTTGATTTACAACCAGGTTTTTCACACTTACGACCATTGCAGCATCCCCATGGTCACGTGATCCAAATTTGGACGCTTGGCAACTGACACATATTTATGACAGTTGCTATGTCCCACAGTCACGTGATCCCCTTTTGCGACCTTCTGTCAAGCAAAGTCAATGGGGGAAACCAGATTCACTTTACAATCATGTTACTAACTTAACAACTGCAGTGATTCACTTAACAACTGTGGCAAGAAAGGTGGTAAAACGGGAGGAAAATCACTTAACAACTGTCTCACTTAGCAACAGAAATTTTGGACTCAGTTGTGTTGGTAAGTCAAAGACTACCTGTACTGTATCTAGTTTTGGTCACCACAATATAAAATAGATGTTGAGACTCTAGAAAGAGTACAGAGAAGAGCAACAAAGATGATTAGAGGTCTGGAGGCTAAAACATATAAGGAACGGTTGCTGGAATTGGGTATGTCT